ATTGCATAATAACACTGTTCATTTATCGCACACCGTGCATTCCTTACTGGAAATCGTACGCATTATACTTCGGATCAGTATTTATGCAGATTTATGGATCCAATTAAACAATACGGCCTAGGTTTGCAAAAAGTGAAAATAAATGCTGATATTTATATTGTATTTTATAGATTAAAAATCTCATCGATATGTAGATAGCAGAGTATAGAAATAGTAACAAGTTTCTATCGTTTGAATTGCAAAAGTCATTGTTTTGATCTCGTTAGGAGTGACTCTTATGCCGTACTTCTATTCCACAAAATTGCAACTTTGAAAACTTTTCAATTAAATCTTATGTATAGTTTATAAAACGGCTTAAAAAACTCCAACACTAATTTGAAACTCAAATCCGTTAMAATTCTTGGAGAAATTGCCGTTCAAATATGTTCAGAGATAAATGGGGCAAASTGATCATGCGCGAATCACTTTACAAAGCACTCTTGTCATCCCACATTGAATACGCATAAAGTGAAATAGAAGCGCTTTTGGCTGTTCACKGAAATCGGTTGACATCCTGCATTGGTCAATGATCAGGTTTCAAACCTGAGACCTTTGCTAGGGTCATGGACCTTTATATCTGATAAAGGTCACCCTTATTAGTATTCTTTATGTAAAGAATACTAATAAGGAGTGTTTTATCAGATATAAAGGTCCATGCATGTGAATGTGACCAAATAGGCTCATTCTGTTGGCCTAGTAGCTCATTAATTATGTATGAGTTTTTTAACTTTTGCGAAAACACGTAGTTTTTACTATAAACTGACATTGACAGTAAACATTTTGCCTTTTAAAAGCTCTTGAAAAATTGGTCACAGAATAGAGCTTAACGAATTTTAAAAGTTCGTTGTTTGACCCAGGGCTTATTGTGTTAGGTATTCGGAGTGGAATGAAAAATTGAGTATAAAATAATGCGAAATTTATCGCAACTACAGAACTCATCCATTCAATCGCAAATATCGTGTAAAAAATAACATTAGATAATGGACTTTAGAAGTCTCTTTGTTTCATAAATATGTATAACATTCTAACAAAGATGTTCATGTTTAAAACTTTGCGGATTTTTGACCAAGTGCACCCGAGGATCTTTGCGCGATTTTCTCTCAAGYGGAAACTTGCCGACTTTTATTTCAACCAATCGAAAAGCATCTCTCAACAACAAATCTTCAAACGACCGCAAAGGTTGYCGGATGCACTTAAGTCTTTAAGATTCGGAAAAGTCAGTCGAYCAGKCCATATGTATCATAAWTCAAGYGTTTATCGTAGATGTAACGCTAGACAGYGTGACCCATTGTAACTCAACCTGTTGCATGACAACACTTCAGATGTAATGATTTCGCTTTATATATAATATTACATATTTACACTTTTACTTTAGTAAAGCTTAATTTCACCAATATCTTGAACAGTTTCACAAATTCTTTAGCGCATGTTCAACAGTGCTGGATGTACCTTCAGTTAACGTYGATAATGGAAAGTGATCGATCTAAGACCGAATAGAATTGTGGTATGATCATAGTATCTTAGACAATCAGTACCTTTCGACATACCATAGTTTCTACTATTCACCACAATGCTAGTTTTAAGCATGTTTTGAACAATACACTAYCATTATCAACTTAATTAAAAGGACATGGTCCACCAGCATCCCTTTCGATCTTTTTGCTCATGTTTGAAARTAAAAATTCATCGTAATATAATCAGAAAMTTTCTCTTTGTTATCCCTTTATACTATATGAATGGAGATACTGTAAGATTCGACATTTWAWCCGATGGATGGAATCGGATTGCGAATGAATCTTCACCTCATTTTCCATATATGAAAAATCTASAACACGACCGCATTGAATGCTGGTGGACCATGTCCCTTTAATTGAAATTTACATGGTRTAACCTGTTAAACTGGTTTAGTTTGTAAATTGAARATCACAAACCAGTGCAACTAGAGTTAATACGTAGCTGCACGGTGACTTCGCGGTTTCCGCCTTTCCCTGTGGTTAGGTCAGTCCCAGGCCCATCTCAGTCGACTCCTATTCAAAATGGCGACTGTCGTTGGGATGACCATTGTTTTACCTGAATTAAGCCGTTTTTTGATTGGATATTATAATTGCGCTTCTTATATTGTTTGTTATTGCCTGTTGGCTTTGAAGCTATCGTCGATCGCCATTTTGAATTGAGGACGGTCGAGATGGCCTGGAAATGAGGTKGAATTTCTCTGCGGAAAACCTGTTAAAGTCGGTTCACATGGAGTTGGATATAATAATCGATTTTTTCTTATCCTTGTTGAGAGACGTTTAGTTAGCTCATCTTAGTGTACTGAATAAAACTTTAWAAGTTTGATTCTTTAACATTAGACTATTCACTAGGTACAAAATGACCTCAAAAATCGCTAGTGTGAACGACCCTTTATACATTTGAATTCACAAAATGTGCAAGTTATTTGGTGCTGAGTCTCTTYCGTGAGCCCGTAAGCGGCTCGTTTGTGTTRAAGCTTCTCTGTGGCGTCATGACGCGAGAGGATATCGTWCGTTTTCCCGTGACATTCTCGTGCAGTCTACTCCACTGTAAACACAAAACGTGCTTAAATCGCCTGCGAAAGTCCTCGGATACAAGCGAGTAAATAATAGGATTAATAGAGCTGTTCGCTAGCAATAACAATGTACAAATRTTGTATATAGCCCAGATATACTTGAACTGGTTTACATCCGTGAACATCGACACGGCCCGAAAAACGTGAAAAGGYAGCATGGTGATAGAGAATGCCAGAACTACGGGAATAAGGATTTTAAGAGCTTTAGTATTTTGATCATCGTGTCTTCTACATTTGCTTTTACTATACTTTTTCCCTACGAGGTTGCGCATGTCTTTATGAAGTGTTTTACTGGCGCGAATTTTTCTTGCGATTTCCAAGTACGTCCACAGTATCGTGGCCAGCGGTAACACATACCAGAAGAAGGACAAGGAAAAAACATAGAGACGCAGAGTGATCTCTTGCTTCGGCCAAAACGGCGTACAGTCAATGGTCCCATTACCGCGGACATCCACGGCATACTCCATAACAAAGAACAAGGGGAGTACAATGTCTAAGAAGGCAAACGCCCARATAAACAAGATGRCCCATTTGGCCGCGCGGAGAGTCTTCTGCGCATGTATACTGCGCACAATGGCTTTGTATCTATCAATTGCTATGGCAACGATTGAACCAATAGAAACTCCGTARAAAATGTCCGACATAGGGTAGACTATCTTGCAAATAAATCGTCCTAATGGCCAGTGGAGAGGATCCTCAGTTTTGACCAACGTGAATGGATAGCAGATTGCTAAAATCCCCAAATCTGCCAGAGCTAAGTTTAGTATGTAGAAATTGACGGCTGTTCGTGATTTTCGGTTACATGAGGTTATAATAACGACTAAAATATTTCCAATAATTCCAAYTGAGCACATTATTGCGCTTAAACATAGACGGAAGACCACGACAGCTTTCGGCTCAAGTTCGGCGCGTTCTCGTGSCGGTGTCAACAAGGCTTTGACAGACGCATTCGTAACATTCGACCAAACCGAAGTCATGTTCAAGGAATTCATACTWTGCTCTTTTGCCTTRTAGTGTTTTCTATGACAATACTAATGGCGACTCAATATTCCTTGACGTTTTAAGCCTGAAAAATAGAAAAAATATCATGAAAATGGTCTCTCAATTCTTACTCTTACTATTAAGCAATCAAGGGTGTTCTAACACGATCGAAAACCAGGAAACYTCTACTTAAACGAAGCATCTTTGAGTCGGAAGTACGTCGTTGTGGGCCACTCTAATTACTTTACTGATAGAGTGATCTGTTTTGAAAATATAAATACCCCACTTGGTGTGTTTATACCAAATCATTCATAACAATCTCGTGTTTAGGCCAAGGCCATTGCCAATGTTTTGATTTTTTTATGCTAAGTGCCAGTGTTTTAATTGATATTTGGCGCTGTTTTGTTTTGGTTAAAGGCTGTTGTTTCTAGTTTGTTAGATTATTATCTATCTTCTCGATTCACTCGTTTTTTTATTTATTCACTATTTTGCATGTTTGGTTGGTTGGATGGTTAATTAGTTACTTCGTTGTTGTTTTTTGTTTGTGTTCATGTTTTGGTAGATCTGTTTCGGCTGTATTTGGCTATTTTTTACTCTTTAATTATTGTGTTTGCTTGCTTTTTTGAGTACCAGAAAATTTTACAATGGTTTTGTTTTATATTTTAAATTAGATATTTTGATTTTTTAATTGGTTATTTTGTTTACTTGTTGCTTTGCTACGGCTGGTTGTTGTCGCTCTATCATTTCTGCATCCGAAAAAGTCTTCCAACGAAAACTGAATACGAAATTAAGTAAGAAGGAAAAAACATTGAAAATGATTGCAGAAATGTTACTGAAACAGTTTCGCCTCATTTTTRTCAGCTGATAATGAGTAACCCTCAATATGGATCGAGAAATAGGGACCACGCAATTAAAATGTGTGAAATTGTACCCGAGTCACCCGAGTCAGTAGCAGCATAAAGTAACAGAGACAAAAATAGAAAAAAGTATGCTTCTGTACTTCGAGTGTTTACAATGTTATCTAAAAATATACCGTTTTATCGACATAATTACCCTCAGATGTGATCTCATATCTGTCGCGATAATAGAAAGTAGGAACTTAGATCGACTACTTATTGCCATTGAGGAATAAAAGTCACACAAAAGAAAGACAAAGGTTTGCGAAATTACTAAAAGAGAATCAGTTTAAACGCGTTAGTTGGCCGGGAGATAAGAGTTACTAAATATGACCAGATAGTGGCTATGTTTTAAGTATGATTAACTTGTTGTTGTTCGACTAAATATGAAAACACAAGCCAATGCAATGTGCAGCGACGCCATTTTGTAAACGAGAGCATGATGATGTGAGATTTAATCCTCATGCATTTTTTTGGCCTTAAAACTTTGTATTGTTCTCAACAAAACTGCAACTTACTTKGTGAAATTTCAAAGATGGATTGGGGGATTTGGGAGACATTTTTATTCAAATTTGCTAAAACTGTTTGTAATAAGCAAAGTGCTGGGTGTAGCTACGCCATCTTAGTTTACCACAGCAAAGCATTATGGACGTGAATTTTATTTGAATTTTCAGATTTTTGCTCTTCAATAAACTCTTTGAATAAAAATGTATATCTACTATGATTTACTTATAAACCAGTCTYGAGAAAAAACTTCATTTGCTGTGTTTACTAAATGAAAGGAATTCGAGTTAATTGGTAGGAGCTAATATTTTGTAAATATCGGACAAAAATGGTTACTGTGTTTACAAAAAGTCTAGGAAAGACATCGTTTGCACTGTTCTTTACTAAAGAAAAGGAATTCAAAGTAACTTTGTGTGTGCTAACACTTAATAATTGAGCAAAAATGGCTGCTTTTTTGTAATTTTACTTACAATTGTTCGTATAAATGGGAAAGCACAGCCATGTGGAAGTTATGTACATGAAACAAACGGATTGTAAACTTACTAATTGGTGGCGCACAAATAATAAATATGACATAAAAAAGGTATTTTTTRTCAGCTGTACTTTTTATTGTCCGTCGCTAGAAACATAAAATAATACAATAATAAACTGAACATATACAAAAACTAATCAYTAATTGGTCGAAACTGGTTCGCCAACATACTACCTCCTGAGTGACGATTAGCATTTGCTAAGGTGGGAGACTTCCAATCCACTTAAAGTTTGAGACTATGTGATCACAGATTACGTGACAAGCGTGGCGTCTTTTGACCGCAATTTTGATCGCCCTTGCTAAGCTATAAGTCATTTGAAGTTACTGCTTGAAGCACATATTCAAAAGCACAATAAAAAGATCATTGTTTTTGATCCACTAACTTGTTCCATAATAATGAATCTATTTTGATGTTTTTTAGTTCGATATCCTAGAATTTCGCGCTCAAATTGGCCTGCGCCAGTAGTGATTTTTCACGATTTGCCCAGTCCGCGGTAATCTGAATCGAATTTTAGCGTAAAAACAGCAAAGAGACTGCAAATTATGAGGTATTATATTTAACGGTCAGTCCGTATAATGAAAAACTAACCTCGGTCTTTGGAAACGCTGCGGCCAYAATCAACACCTCGGGMAGATTTCCACCATACGGGCCCCCACTCGGGTAATAGAAAATATAGATATTTTTTGCGCAGTCAAACATGTCATAAAGGTAGTTTATTTATTATTAATGGTGCTTTCGCAATATCTACGACATTTAAACTAAACGTTTTGACATAGATCAAKCWCCTTGGGTTAATGAGTTTCACTTTGCAGCTAATTATGTTGATTTTTTGGCCGAAAAGTTGGTGAATGGTGATCGTTTGCGCACCTGAAGAAAATATAATATTAGATCACTTTTTTTGCTTTTATAAAAGAATTAGAACCAAATTTGGAAATTTAGCGGAAATCAAAGATTTTCGGCATAGAGATAGAGTTGTCCGCGGAGAATACCGTCTTTTTTCAATTTTTTTCGTATTTGCTGAAACATTAATTACACTATCAGTGCTTTTAAGAGAAAAAAATGAACAATATTGATTATTTCTGTAACTAATTGAGTGCGATATCGATTTTTGCATTAGTAATAACGAAGAGGTGTCTCTACATTTTACAAAAAAATAAAGTTTAAGCTTCATGAATGGTTATGGCTTTAACTTTAAAACAACGAAGAAAGACCAGCAAACGAGCTTTATGGAAAGCCAGAGAGAAAAGCAATATTTTAGTGAATTTTRATGCATGAAAATTCATGAATTTGACCGGAAGAAGAAGGCGAATGAAAGGTTGGGAAATCCAACGACAGTGAARCGTTTAGAATTGTACATGCAAACAGAATCAAATTGAGATCGCTAAACAACTACAACTACTTTGCGGAAAATATCGTATACATCTTTTGCAAAGATATTTTTCTTCGATATAAYTCACTTTTAATACAATAAGCCATTTACTTTGCCTGTGAAGTAAGGCGAATATAAAATTACGGAAAGGAAATTATATATTAAAAAAACATTTTACAAGCTCAATACAAAATCAAGACTGGAAAGTCTTATTTTACAGCAAAGAATATAATTAGGATTCTGAGAAAGAAAACATCCAATATTATGATATCAAASCAGGTTGGGATCCAAGAATGATTTGATATTATCGTCGTCTGGCAATATTCATGGAAGCCAAGATATTTTGTATACAAGTTTGTTTTTTTTCGATTTATGAACACAGATGAAAGGAAATGTTCCGATTTTTACAATTCTGAAAAATCCATTCGACACAAATGTTTAAACTGACATTTTTTACACATAAAAAACAAATTTGTCATGGATATGACAAAAAGGTGAAAGAGTTACTTGATTATAAATAAATATACCAAATTTTCAAATCAATCAATCTTTCGCAAACGAAAATATATATAAAAAAGTAAAGATAATTCATGAAAAAAAACAAGAAAAAAAAATGACAAAATAAGTTACAAATTGTTTTTCTTGCTAGCTTACTTGTTTTGGAGTTGTTTTGGAGCTTATTTACTTGTTTTTGAAGTCATTTAACTTGCTCAATTCTGCAAAGAACCAAGCCTACTTGTAAACGTACCAGTACAAACATCATTGGGTCATTAAGAATGATTTGCATATTGACTGGCTCAAATTGTAAGGTGTCAAAGCGAGAGTCCATTGAACAGGGTCGGAGCTCTTATTTTTTAAATAATAATAATAATAATAATAATAATAATAATATTCATGCCAGCTTATAAGTAATAAAGATCTTAAATGCTATATATTAACTGTTGAGTTAGAAATACGAAGAAAAGTAATCTACCTGAACTGCAATTTTTTGGAGGTGTAATCTTTCTTCATAAATTCAAAATGAGGTAGATTATTTCTCGACTGTAATTGACTTCACGCTGAAATCATGTATTAGGTTTCCAAAGTGGTGCTCAAACTTATTATCATAATTAAAATTATAAGAAAAGCTACTAAGCTTATGAAAAAAATTAACACATATATCACAAATTTTGAAAACGAGAAGTTGTGAATAAAAAAGAAAAATAAATAGATGTGAATTGTGTAATTCAACAGTAAACACAAAAAGCTAGTCGAGTTATTCATAAGGAAAATCCTAGTAAAAACAACGCCTTTTTTACCGTGAAAAAAACGACGCCGTTCATGTGATCAACTTAGTCAGCTGCAAAAATGCGGAAAATAAAGGTAAAAATTCCTGAGGAAGCGAAGTCATTTTGGGTCCACTAGAAAGTGTAATTGAACTTAGTGCTAATATGCATAAGTGAGCAGACATACCTGTCCTTTTTATATCGATTTCATGGTCTCAGCAAGAGTTTAGTGTTTCAAGCCACATACATATGTAACGGTCACCACATCCMCCGCAAGACATAACGGGACAGGAATTAGCTCTTTCGATTTATCATCACTGTTTTCATATTTTTAGGAAAAAAAAATAGAATATACCCTTTTCCTGCGCTCAGAGATGGAATACRACTTTTTTCGTGTCGGTGTCGGCAAACTCTCAAAGGGCTTGATATTTKCCCAAATGTATTTATATTCAAATCAATTTTTACTTGAATACGTGTAAGGATCAGGGGTAGACTAATGATGTAGGAAGTGGATCATGAAAAAGGCAAATTGAGAAGGTAAAAGGTAAAGGTAGCATAAATTGGTAAAGGTAAAGGCAAATTGAGAATTTTAAGTACAAATATGTAGTTTTTTTTTTGTTTCATTTTTTTACCTTATCAGCATTTCTAAGGAAAAAATTACCTAGTAATAATAATAATAATAATTATAATAATAACAATAACAACAACAATAATAATGACGAAAAACGTGAAAACGAGGCTGCTGAGGCCTCAATACTGATTTTCACTCAAACGTCTCCAAAAACTGAAACACCTGGAATTTCTGGCCCTTAAATGTATGAGTAATGAAACTTTCGGATCTTAATCATTATACTATGTTCTTCCAACGAGTAGTAATGATATATTGTACAACCCATRATATATGGCATGACGATAGCAACGCCCTTTTTCATATGGTCTATTCATGTGCAATATTACGCAAAAGTTCCTTTGAATACATCCCTATTAACACGCTGCGGAAACAGGGCTATCGCTAGACTTGTTGAGGGCGCCAAACCAACTCAACATTGTCATATTATATTAATATTCGATTTTATCGAATTTGTTTCGAAAAAGCGTAAAGCTGATCCACATGTTAAAGTAATAAGTCTTGTCTTGGCTCGTAGCTCATGCAACGTCACGTTCAGTGAAATAGCGAGAGCAAGCAAAAATCGCTTGAACGGTCTTCATAAAACCGTTAAGAAAGTATAAAATATTGTGAACAYCGAAGTCGCAAACGGGTTTCATTAACCCGTGAAACAAAATAGTTAAAGTGTAAAATTCTGCGACACACCGCAAAGCGTGAAAAGTAAAGAGCGATAAAGTGATTTTTTGCGACACAAACCCGTGACTTAATTTTCTTTTACAACAATATTTTCAATCGAGATGAGCCATAAAATTTACTTTTGAGAATAAGCTAATTTTATATTCTTCAGGGTTGCTACTGTATGTAGTCACCCTAAGCTATCCAAAAGCACCATGTTTTGAGCATTACAGTTTTCATTTCCGACTTTTAAGAGAAGTACCGTTAGAAATGGCACACAAATATATATCTTGTTCACTTTTTTGAGTAAAACGGCTGGCAGTACAATCATTTTCAAAAGTAGAAAGCAAGTTTCATATTACAATTGCAAGCAAACTTCGTCAATTCTTACCATTTTAGCACAGCATGACGAGTCCACATATAATAATACACAAATGGACCTTAATCAACGATGTTTTGAAGTTTTGCAGTAATAAATGGAGTCCCTCTGTGCAAAAAAACTTAAGAATGTTAGTATAAAGATTAAAAATGTCAACAAATGTAATGTTATTTTTATTAGAAAGTATAGCTTCATTATTTTGTACTTAAACGAGTCAAGCTTATCTCAAAGCTCGACTGCATACAAGTAAAAACAAAATATCTAAAAAAAAGGAAACTATATTTGTGGAATAGGCAAAATTATAAAAGTTCAATATAACTAACGCTACTTTTCTMAAAGAGTTCTCAATAATAATTATCTCGATCAATACAATTTGATTCATGTTGTATAGTCATTCGCAAATTATGAGGATATTACATGGGCGCGCGGAGATATGGATTTTATCTTCGAGTGTTGAAAAGATCGCTTCGCTCACTCGTGAGAGACTTTCAACACAAGAAGATAAAAATTCGTATCTCCAAGCGACCATGTAATATTCTGTTTATCATATAATTACATATGAAAGCAAATTATGTCGTAAAATACCTTTTTTCTTACTTCCACTATATCATGATAGAGAAACCTCGAATGTGTTATTTTCAACAACTTCACGAAATGGAAARGTATAGGTATTTTATAGATAATTCATGATGTGAAATCTATTTCTTCAACTGACTTTGATTTTCCTAAGACATTGTTTAGCTATTTTCCACCTCCCTAGATACGCGAACGGATACCTGCATGATAGTCTCAAAAGCCGGGGAAGCAACTTTCGGATATGACCAACAGTTCCAAACTGTTTTTTCAAATATGTTTACCCAATAATTATTATTGTTTTCAATTTGTATTTTTCCCAAAATAAAACATACAATACCAAAATATATGTATTCGATCACGAAATATAGATAGATTTGAGAGTTGATGCAGTAAAAATTCAATTCCTCTTAATAGAAATGAAAAATTCGACTCTTCACTTGCATAACGACACTATATTCTCACACAGCCACTTAACGGTATAAAAATACGCTAAAACGCCAAAGCTTGTAATAATGTGAACAACTTATAGAATGTGAAATCTTACCAGATTCTGGTCTCACGAGATGTTTGTAAAACAGAGTTCCACTCGGCAATAAAAGATTGTTTCAGGCGCGAACAGGACGAATTTCAGTGCAATTAAAGTTAGTCGTGTTTTGAAACCCTTTTCGAAYCTTCGTAATAAACACCAGCTATTCGCCAATTTCAGCGAAGCTATTTATCGTCCAATCAAAAAATCAAGAATAGTGTCAGTAAATTGCAGTTTTTTTCTTCTTTCCTGTTGTCCGTTTCCTTTGTTTTCTCAGCCAATCAGATTCGAAACATTATCTGCTTTTGTTGACAATGTAACAAAGCATTTTAAATGCAATTTAKGGAAATTTAAGAATGTATGTTAAGTTTAATCGTCTAACGCCCCCTTTCTTTTCAAAAAATAAAAAAATAAAAAAAACCTTACTTCCTTGGTGATTTTGGTTGATGGCAGATGTCGATATAAAAATACATCATATTATTTATTTGTCATCTTATATATGATAAAACTAAAAATAGTTGAGATTTCTTTCTTACTGTTACAGCACTGTTATTATGATCCAAAGTTTCGTATGATCAGCAGTGGAATAAATATTCCGGTTCAACTGCATCTTGCTTAGTACTGTATTGATTAATAACATTATCTTCAACAACAACATCGATTACTTCGTATTTGTCTTTATCTTACCGAAGCATTTAAACCCTCATTTGATCTCATTCTCTGTTTGAGTTTATTATCTAAACCTAAAATGACACTTAAGTAATGTTGACGAATCAAACTAGCTGTTCAGTTAAGAAAATGAGTATCTGGAATGTTCTTTTATATCGTTATTAGAATGTAAAAATATTTTTCACTCGTTTGTCATCTTACGAAAAGTCCAAATGTAGGGTTTGTTTACTACAAACCGTGTGTTTTTTTTCTTACCACGCTTTCAATTAAAACTAAAACACTTGTTTTTTATTCTCTTCAAGCTCATTCACTTCTCCATTTCAATACATCTCTTTTCTCCTCGTCTGGTACCACGTTTATGCGCTCATCTATATACCTATCTTGTAGGATTTTGTAGATAACTATAGTTTGCATTTAATCTAGATTGGTAAAATTCTTGCATAAGGCAACTAGGAAATCGTTTCTTCTCGCCGACTGTATATTCGCGTCTGTTGTTAATGCAGCGGCTATTGGAGATGACGTCTTTCCGCAACCTTTGCCTTGAGGTTGAAAATCAAGCGGTCTAAAMTTAAAATCTAATTATTTCTTGCTTCGCCGAAAAGAAATTTAAACAAAACTTCAACATTTGGGGTTATGGTAGAAAAAACCGCTTTAAAAACCAATTATTGCTCTCTTTTTCGTCTTTAGATTTGTATTTATTAAGCCAATTTCGAATTACCGAATTAAAGCGCGCTTTTTCGACTATCTTTCCTTAGTTATTAAAACTTACCTCGCCCTGGATCTTATCACCATCAAAATTGCTCAGGTTTGAACTGTTTGATCAGTTTAAGGAGAAAACGTTTCGTGCAAATTCACTCTTTGGATCTTTGATAGAATAATGCTGATCGATTTGCATTTGAAAGTCTTTCCTGGCAGACACGAACAAAATGGCTTGGCAAACACTTTAATACGTCAAGAAGACAAGTAACATTCATTTGCAGTGAAAACAGTCGAGTTTTTGAAGTGCCGGAGCTCTAACGCCCTGAGGAGACGCAARATTTCATCTCCTTTGTGGGTAATGCATGCACAACTCCGTTCACTTATCGCAAGTACCGGGTTTAATCTGAATAAATTTTCAATGACTTTTCATTCACAGAAAAATAACAACAACAAAGCGCTCTTCCGACCAAGGCCCCTTACGGTAAAGAAGAGTGTTATATCCAAAAAGTGCCGCGAAGAGAAATCAAAGAAAACCGAAGAGAATAGGATATCAAGTTGTTCCACGTTGCAGCTTGTGAATAGTTCTCAGTCATTCAAGTAGTTTGAGGGAGTCATACCGTTAAAGGTGTGTCAGTGTGGTCTGTTTCAATGATTCTAACTTCAAGAAAGGGGCTCAGGAAACCCTCTTCCTTGGCAGACTTTGAAATATTATACTTTATTTGCCAAATCAAAAGGTCCAATTTTCAGGTACTCCAACGACGTCAACGTTCTGTTCGGTTTGAATCCTAAATAACACTTAGAATATAATCGTAATAAAAAAATAACACTTTGTCAATTGTTTTCTTCAAAGTCTSAAAACCGCAAAAAAAAAAAAAAAAAAAATGCGAAGAACCCTCCACGTGAAACCCATGCACACGTCTTTGCGTCTGTCCTTTGTCTAATTCAGCGATAAAAAAAAAACTTTGTTTCATCTCTTCACGGTGAATGTTTTATGTTATTTTTTTTTCATGATTTGAAGTCAGTATTGTTGTTGGTCATAACTAGGAGGAGAATTCAACTCAAAATGTTTCCCGGCTAACGTCAAATCCACTATCAGATAGAGATATTTGTTTTGTTTAGTCCGAATCAAGATAAGTACTATTCCCGTTTTCCTTTTGTGGCAAAAACAGTCAAATTCCCTCTCATTCTAACATTGGAAACTTTAAATGAAGAATTCCTTAGATAATATGAACTTGAAATTGTAAATTGAATTGTTTCATAAATCTCAAGGGTGGGATTTAATATTAATCGATATATTCTAATGCCTAAAAATCTATTAACTTAACTTACCAAGTACTCAACGTGATCAAGCGGTCTGTACACCAGCAAACTAGTTGATGAAAACGGCTACGTCCGATACACAACAACAAAAACATAAGCCGTCGTTGTAACTTAATTCTATGCATCCGCGTCAMTCAAGACTTAATTTACTATCAAATCAGACGTTTATACATCATCATTTCAGACAGATAATTTCCAGGGTGCTAATTAAAAAGAAATTGATTGAAAAATCAGTGTATCTAAAAATATGCTGTGACAAGCAAATACTACTTATGGCATATATGCAGAAATCTTCGTTTAAAGGTAGGAGAAATACGTGAATTTAGAAGCAAAAACAAGTCGGCATATTATTATCTCATAAGAACAAAATAAATACTGAATCCAGATACGGAAATAATTAACGTCTGAGGTTCAAAGACGCCGAGTATTTGGTTGTTTTCAAATGTGGAACGTTCGGACACCTGCTCAAAATGTCCATGGAAACTCGGTACTAGGAACTTTTAATGGCTCAATAAAATATTTCTTAATGAATGAAATTTAAGGTAAAAAAAGAGAACATGAATAARTAAAAAAAGGCTTTTGTATGTGAGAGAAAAATATAAGTTAATTAAGTCTCTCAAGACGTCTGTGCGAAGGAAATTACTGCCGAAATTTCAATTGAATGGAATCGAAGCTAATGTTATCGAAGTTAATATCTATCGACATTTGTTTTTCTTCTTTTCGCCTCATCGTTTTTTTCAACTCTTTGGTGGCCMTTTTTCATTGTTTATTTTTTTGTGTTTAAGCATATAATTACTTTGCGAGCTTTGAGAATACAAGTAAATATGACAAAGATAATCTTCGAATAACTGTCTAGAAAATATAACCACACGGATTGAGCAAGTTTATGTTGTATCATGTTCAGGAAAAAGTACCTGAAAATAAWTTTGAAATATTTCCTATGATCACTAGTGATACTAAAGAACCATTTCCATAACTTTTAAAGCAATTTTGTAGCTGTTAAAATATAACAAAATTGGTTGAAACTGATTTCTTCAATATTCGTGTGTCCTGCCTTAGCTCCATGAAGTGTTACAAACTTGCCAAAAAATCACTTCTGTCTGATAGATTTTGGGGATTGGTCAACACAACTGACAMAATCCRCTGTCAACTTTCTCAGTTGGATGAAATTTTTTTATTGTACCAGCTGTAGCAGATGTTAGTTGAGTGATTTTCTGGTCGAAAACGACCATTTCCTAAACAAAATGACAATTGAAAGGGAAAAATTTGCCAGGGAATGGAAACTTTGTTCCACCATAAAAATGCTTGCATAGGTTTCTCGACAGTTAATTGTTCACTTGAGATCGATAACGTTTCACTTTATTATTGCCCACTTTCTTTGCTACATTATAACATAATGTATTTAAACTGATTTTGAATTATACTCAAATTTAAACTCGAAGACTAAAGTTTATCTTTCAATAACTGTATTTTCATCGAATGTTGCGGGCTTTTTAAACCTATTCAATGTGATTATTTTTCTTTTTTGATTTGAAATTTTTACTCAGTTGAGAAACAGTATACAACGGCTGAAGCAACGAGTTTTTAATAACACATAAAGAAGGGAGCCAGCTGGTGATGTGATAATATCGGCTTTATATATGTAGACTGCAAAACCTTTTTTATTAAATAACACACCGTTATGATTTTTGTGTTCAAAATTTAGTCTACGAGAAACGCAAATCAAATATTTTTAGGTATGGATGAATTAGGGAAAGCTTTATCGCCGCGAAATGTAAATAAAACATTTACCAGTGAATAAAGTAGGCGACAATAAGGTATAACATRCATTGAAAGAGATAAGAAACATATATCACAGTTGAAATATTATTTTGAAGTCTAATTCAACACTTACCTTTGTAGTTAACGATTATGAAACACTTGATTTTTTTCTATCTACCGATCAATTCTATAAAAAAAAAATAATAAAGATAAATTTAACGAACAAATATATATTAGGTAATTAAAAAAATGTGTCAGTAAGCTCTGTATTCTTATAATGGTAAAACTATAGACACGTATTTCTGAATTCTGTTATGGTTTATGGTCAGGAATTACCCTGACTGGCATCGAGACCAATAGATTTGAATTAAAAAATGTAATGATTGGCATATCAACATCAATTCAAAATTAATATATCAAACTWAAGTCTTCGAAAGAAAAATTATATTTAAGCCTTGATTTTGTGTTCTGTTGACATTCAGGAAAACACTCTATRAACTCCTGTTCCCTTTTAAGGATATTTCACTCGAAATAATTGTCCCTATACCTTTATATACCAGCAAAAACACCAAATTATGCTTCCTGGCAAATCAACTATTACCAGTAAGCGAACCCTTTAGAAGCCAGTAATCGACCAGAGCTGTTAAGCAAATTATCATCGAGATGTAAGCGTCGTGAAAGCCAAAAACCAAGTCCTTTCCAATAAAAGAACATCTGTTTTGTTTCAAGCATGTGATTGGTGCAAATTCGAGGTCGATCTGCGCATGTGCAGATRCTATTCAACAACTARTCATGATTATGYAATTAATTGGCTGAATATTGATATTTTTAGCATCGATGGTGGTGTACCTCATATTTAATTGTCAGTTTTGAATGCAAGCCAATCTAACTAACATGACTATTAGTTAGTAACTAAACAAAGCATGCGTTYCTCTTCCGACTTTGATTGACTGTCACTTTGATTACATAACACTTGAAAAAATCGCGCGCTTTAAAGGTTGTAAATTTGATGTAAATATGATGTAAGTGTCCAAAATTCTTTAAATTTGATGTAAATGATTTCCATTAAATTTACAGAAGTTTGGACACTTACATCATATTGACATCAAATTTACAACCTTTAAAGAGCGCGATTTTTTTTTTTTCAGTGTAACTCCTGGTTATGTAACTGCCACGCAATCTAGTCTTCCTAATAAAATACTGACGGAAAAAGGCTTATAATGATGTAACCTACGATGGTATAATGATGCAAGATTCCATTTTTGGACTGATCGCTTTTGATTTTCAGTGTTTACACGCAATGTAGTCTTATTAGCATCACAAAAGGGGCGATATTTCAATCCCGACGATGGTGTTCTCAAAGGTTCAACCTTTGGACCTCCTTGTTTTTTAGTTTTCCTTATGTGCGGTTAAGTCATTCTTTCAGACATCGCGAAAAAAGGTTTGTGGACGCAAGGTGGTCTTACTGACATCATACGACCATAAATTAAAGGCCTCGTATATAATTGATTTAAAATATTATTTGTTTTCAGTAGTGGTGCTTCTATGTTTAAGATAGCGTAAGGATATCTACCACAAATTGAACCAAACCATCTGAAAAATACTTATTTTTAAAAGCCTTTCTAACTGAGGCTAACTGAAAATGATCTCATATTCTACAGATCATTAAAAAGTGGTTTAGAAGGGGTGTGAGAATTTTCGTGCATTGTCTTCCGTGAGTGGTTTGAAAAAAAAAAATCAAATATCTTCAGTGCCATTGAAATTTGACAGCACAATGCAACAATATAATCTGGTTTTAAAAGCGAATATAAGAGCGAAACTAATAAAAGCTAGTGACGAAGGCGTTTTTTTCGTGCAACTTGTGTCGCGCAAAAAAAATGTTGAAGTTGCACGAGCGTTTTTTTTACGTGTGACACCCCCTCATGCAACTTGAACATTTCATTTTTTT